TATATATATATATATATATATATATATTAGTGGAGAAACATGACAGACACTCTTTCTTATAAGAGACGTTATCCAAACAAATATAATACTCCATATATTTTTTGTATTTATCTGTCTCTCCATCATATTATTACATTTTTTTTTCTCCTTCTCTCTCTTGATTATAAATTAATATTGTTGAATGATTTATTGTAAATTAACATTTCTATTTTAAGAATTATTACAATTTAAAAAATTACAACGAACATACATAATCAGTTCATAAGAATGCAATAAGAAAATATTTTATATATCAAATGTCACCAATTATGACTGTACTCATTAAATATTTATCCTAGTTTATACACTTTACTGTTTTTCTAAAACAATATTAGCAATATATTTTTCGAACTTAAAATTTCATAGAAATTATGTAAATCCAAGTTGCTAAGAACTTGAAAGAGTTATATATATATATATATATATTTTGCTGATGACTACACCATATCTTTCTACAATATTTTTACCACCTTAAAAGTAATATATTTGCCATGCTAAAAATTTAAAACATACTCATTATGTAAAAGAGTAGAAAAATTGATAAAAAAAATAAAAATATATTTATTTTAATGGTGTCTAATAGTCTCACATTATTTAATAATTGAAATTTAAAACAGTTTAAATATATTTTTTTATAATTTTTTAACATAAAACTATGACAAAATTTCAAAATCTATTCCAAACAATAAGTTAGTTAATGGAGGTAGGTGGTGTTAGGTAAATCTTGAATTTAGTGGGAAAATTAAATCCTTGGAATAATGGTTGGTGAGTAGTACTGGGTGAGTGATTCCTATTAATCAATGCAAATTCCACATGCGGACAGGACCACGTAACTCTGGTAATTGGGTCCAGTTTTTAAATGAATTTTTGTCTAGATTCAACTTCATCTACCTCCGATGATATGACAAAGAATCGACAGACAGGGATATCTAAGTAGGTTACTTCTATTATTACACTTAATTAATAATGTTCCTAGAAATAGTTGTTTTTATATATCCTGGGATCTGCTAGGGTTAATTTATTTTTTAATTTAATTAGTGATACGTATTTCGAAGGACATTTCATTTGGGATATAGCAAGAATCAACATTAATCAAATACGAGAATAATTTATGAAAGGGGATTAGTATAATTTTCAACAAAAATTAACTTTTTATTTTCACGTGAGAGCTAAACTTATTCTGGAATTTCAAAATTAACACATAATTCTCTTATTAATTTTGAATTGAAATTTTAATTATTTTTTTAACAGTATTTAAAAAATTTATATTTTTCAGTCATTTAAAAAAATTATTAAGTAATTGATATATTTTTTATTTTATTTTTTCATATATTTTTTATCAATTTTGAATTAATTTTCTGATAATTATTTTATATATTGATTATTTAATACTTTTATATATATTTTTTTAATTTTTGTGTTAATTGATTGGCATAGTTACTATTCTTTTGTTTTTCATTTTGCTTATGTTGTCTCCATAGGTTAACACAAGTAAAGTTGTGTAGTTAATATCACAAAAAAAAACATGATATTATTAAATATTTAATATTAATTTTTTAATATCAATATTAACAAATAAATTATAATTATGTAAATATAAAATATATTAAATAATAATTACATAATTATCAAATAATTTTGAAAAATAAAATAATTATAAAAAAATAGAAAAAATAACATATGTATATCCTAAAAATAACTTACGAAATTAATAAAAAAAAGGTTTTCTTTTTATCGGCAAATAAAAAAAGTTATGGCAAAATTTTGTAGAACCTAAAAAATTAATTTTTTTTTGGTAATTTAAAACATTTAAATGGGAATATGTATGTCTGTCAAAATTCAGACATAATTATCTATAATATCCATACCTAATTAATAAAAAAAAAAGTCTGTCAAAATTTAGGCAGGTTTGGAGAATACCTGTATCATACTCTGTTATTTTTTTTTTCGATTTAGGATAAAATAATTTAATTATAAAAATAAATTTAATGTGACAAATCAAGAGCATAGATCAATTGTGTTTTAAAAGCTCATACTACCTAATTTAAATCATAACTGGCCATCAAGTGAAACGTAAACATAAATGTGAAAAGTGTACTTTTATTCCAAATTTAAAAACATTATATATGCATGAGTTTTTTTATTGTATTATTTTCACCAAGTCGTTTTTCAGGGGAACATTTTCTATTTTCAATAAATTAAAGGAAGTCGTTGACCTACAACGTTGACATACTTGTCATAATATCAGTGATCTTGGTGACCAATAAAAAGTGATATATTGGTATTTAACAATAAATGATGGTTGAATTAATAAACTATAGCCTTGATCTTATGATGTAAACGCACCCTTTTATTCAGAATGTGGTTGGAACAGAAAAGTGGATGAAGATCTTTCATAGCATTTAATATTAATATTAATTTTATCATTATAATAATAATAATAATTATTGTGTTTATTATTAAGATGTAAAGAAGTTCCTCTAGGATTCATTACATAGTGGTATAAACTATAGATTATAAATTGTTATTACAAAAGAAAAGATTATTTTATATAAAAGTTTCAACTAGTTTTTTTTTTATAAATATAATACCGATATAAAGCATCTATTAACCATGTCAATTATTAGTATATATTGAAAAACTCAACTGACCAATCTTAATAAAGTTTCTCTTTTAACCACGATACAAATTTTCCATCCATATTCGTGGAAAGTCCGTTTTTCGCTCAAATTAAATGAATTTGATATTTTATCTATTTTTTTTATGTAGATTTCTAACCTTATTCTTTAGCATTTTGTCTCTTTCTTGAAAATGCATCTCTTTTCTTTTTCGTTTTTTTTTCTTTTCCCTCACCTTTACCTTCACCGATATATAAAAATTATATTCTAAATCGTGAAAGTGAAAAAATTTCCGAAATATAAATAATGTTTTTATTCTAGATTATATATTTAAAAACTAAAAATGAAAATAAAGTATAGTTAGAAGTTTAAAATGTGTGGGGGTACAGAACGAAATCATGAAGGCGCAGGAAGAAGCAGAATTCATGTCAACATGTTATAGGTCCAGTGGGTTGAGGCGTATTCGGTAGATGTTCTTTTTTACCAAAAAATAAAGGTAGAGGAAAGAAACACATTAAAAATATAACTATAACTACGTTATGTTAATAATTTTCTTAATAATTTTTTAAAAATAAATAATGTGTCACTATTTTATTAATCTATTTAAATTTATTTTCTTAAAAATATTTGAAACGTGATTAAAAAATTGTTAAAAAAACATTTTAAAAATATGCAATAAATATCTGAGAACACAATATTTTCCACAACTGCCCAAAGACGTTACCAAAGTTGTATAAGTTTTAGCTGTTAGGTATTGTTTGATTAAAAAATGTCACCGCCTAACCAACCAGTGACAATATGTTGATCAATTAGTATTCGACACGAAACATCCCAAAATGATTGTCTGGAAACTGATGGTTTAGAGTGATAACATTCAGTAAGAGGTTGTTTTGCAATTCCAAGAACTTTTTGGCTGCTTTAGAATCACGGTGACTTTTGAGGGGCGATAGAGAAAACATGTGAAACAGCTCCCTTTTTTGGATTCCCTTCAATAATTGATAATGTCTGTTCGTCGAGATCGATAAGGGCAGTACAAAGGGTGTGAAGTAATGGACCTGAGAATAGGTTGAAAGAAAAAGTGATCATGAACATGAATGGATTCAGATGTGAGATGTCTTTAATTTACCTGTCATGTAGATGGGATAGTGTTTGTCATCCATATCTCCCAGAAGTGACAGGAAATCTCCTTTCGACTTTTTTGTCAAAACAGATGCTCTTTTCTGCCTGCTCATTGAATTCTCATCGTGTACCTTTGAATGAAATCCAAATGATGTTTTATTTTGAGATATACACATGTTTCAATCATGCATTTTTTTATGTTATCTTCACATGCAATTTCCTCGATAGTTCAATTCTCTTATTGGTGAAGTGAATTGAGACACTTCCAAGCATGCAGAGGTCCGAATCAAACAAATGCAAAACAGGATTTTGTATCACTTGCCTGGTTAATAGGAAGGTGGAGGTACATGTTTGCATGGAAGAAAGGTTGTTCCCCCACCTCATAAATTGAAATCCGATTCCTGGACGCAGTTTCAACGTTAAAAATCCTGCGGGTCTTTGTTTCTATCAGGTTGTAAGAATGTCCCACAGAAACTTCTGACCGTTGGATCCTCTGATGAAATAATGACACAATAAAAAAACATCATACTACATATTATAAGACAATTTTACATTCAACGTAGGAGTACAGAGGTAAAATACTCATAAAAATATAAATTTTTATATTTAGAAAAAAAAAAGTAAAAAATAAGAAAGGATAGTATTAAATTAATATAAAAAATTCAGGTGTGTGAAAAAAATGTTTAGTGTTTTCTTATGAAATCAATAATATGGGAAGGAAAAGTATGCAAATTCTAACACTCAGTGCATCATCCATGCTTGCAGCTTCAAGAAGGTCTCGAGAAATGAAGTTGCGTCCAATTCCACCAGCCACAATTTCATCTTCAGCGGGGGGTACAGAATCCAGAGTAAATGCCTGCGAATCGTAAACCCAGTTTTCACTTGCATAACACTTTTTTTCATAGACATTGCTTCTTCGCATAAGACCATGCTTGAATTGATAGAAATAGATGAGATAAAATGAAATGAAATTCAATAAAATTAAGCGTTCGTTCAATTGTTTGGATATATGTAAGCGAAGGAATACAACAAATTACATATTTTAAATCGAGAAATTTACTATTAGCAGAAAAATAAAGAACATAATTTATTAGATAAAGTGATTTTACTCTAATATCAATAACAATGAATAAGATTTCTGTTCATTCAACTCATGCATAGATAGTTGGTGAATTAGGAATTTTACCAGTCCATGGCTGTTGAAGCCAAATGCACAGCTTGGAAGCTCCCCAGCATAAGTATAACCAACAAAGAATACTCCATCCGGCAAGATTCCTTTGATTAAGTAGCTGCACTTGCAATTCCACACAGAAAAAACACTCATAAAGCCGTTTTAATTATTCCAATTCTGAAGCCAAGACAAGACATTAATGAATCTCTAAGCTTACGTGTGCCCGACAAGAGCAACATTTGCATCCTCATTGTGCGCAGCAATAGCCATAGATTCACCGACAACAACAACATCGGAGCAATCATCCGAGGTATCCATAGTTGGCCCTTTTGCCCCTTCTTTTGGAATAAACGCCAGAATCTCTTTCCTGAAGTTGATAAGTAAAATCTGCTAAACCACACACACAACAAGACGCTAATTAAATATTTATGTTGTTACAAAAACTCAAAGTTATGTTGCAGCATTTGACTATTTGCGTATAATATATGGTTTTGCAATTACATCAAGAAGTGGCACACCGCTTCCTGCTGCAGTCCCCAAGAGTTCATCCCAATAGGATGGGAATTTGGTTTTGTTGGCATGAAAAAGTGCTTTGAGAAGTGATTCTGAATGAGGGGTGTGGCCAAGGGCAAAGGGTCGGAGATGATTTTGTAGAATGAGATCTGTGGCCACTCTACTCCTTATGAGTTTTGAGAATCTTTGGCCAATTAAGAGACCCATTTCGTAAGCATCTTTGCATGGTCCAACTTCGAACATCTCAAGCCTCTCCCTATCCACACTGCAGCTTCCCATTTTTGCTGTGAGTCCGTGACTACTATGTTAAGATCAGACATAAAGAAAACATTCACTTGGTTATGTCTCATCCTTATCCTTATTGCTTGAAAATATTAAAGAACAAAAAATAATTAAGAAAGGGTAATCAATAGTAGTAAATTAATTAGTAATGCCTACTCTCCTTCAAGTCTTTTTACAATTTTCATTAGATATTTGTAAATTAATTTGTAATACATAATAATTAAATATTTATAAATATATTTTATTATTACAATAAAATGAGTAATTAAAAATATTAAAATAACTAATAAAATAAATAATGAACTGAAATATAAATAAAATAAATTTAATTTTTTTAAACTTTGATAATTTATTTTACGATATTTTGATTCTGAAATATAATCTTTTCATTCATTCACAGTCTAATAATCCCGAAAGAAAATGTAGGAAACAATTATCATACAAATGTATATCACACAATTACTGTAAAGTCAAAGTTAGTCTTGTTCGTTACTATTTTTTTTTTTTAGTTTTTCTTTACTATGTATCTGCTATATATATGTTTTCATGTAGCAATACATATTCAGTACATATTTTATATCTGATGTCATATTACAACATGGTATAGTAAGATCTGTGAAAACGTGTTCTGCATAAGCGACTAAGCCTGCGTGAGATTCTTCCTTTTTCTCCTCTATCTTGATTGCGTGGAACGTGCCTTAGTGAGTGTGTGGTTCTTCTTTTGAAGCGTCAATTCTTGATTAAATCAAGAACGTGTGTAGGGGTGTCAAGAATAGTAGAAGGAACCCAGGTTGATCACGAAAACAAGAAAGAGGTACAAAGGTGTAAAGGATGGCTGGAAACGGTAGCATTGTACAAGGAGCGTTATCAGTTTTCGATGGGAATCTATTTAACGATTGGAAAATCAAAAGGCTTGCCATCTTTGGTTTCCAAGATGTAGCTGATGTAGTCACGGATGGGCTTGAATATCCTGGACGAAAAACCACTGATGACGACAAGAAGAACTTCAAAATGCAGCAGAAGCTTGATAACAAAGCCATATTTCTTCTTTATTAATGTGTAGATTATAAGATTTTTAACAAAATCTCCAAGGCCTCCACTGCCAAGGAAGTATGGGACATTCTGCTCAAAACCTACGGTGAAGGTGAAGTTGCAAACCTTGAGGAGGCAATGAGTTCTTCAGCATTGAGGAGAATGGAGTTTATGCTGGCAAAGCAACATGAAGACAAAAAAGGTGATTATATGTCTGTGTGTTGATGATCTTTAGATCACTGGAAGTAATGAAGAACTAATAACTCGTTGCAAGTTTGAAATGCTGAGAGAGTTTGAAATGAGTGACCTCGGAAATTTGAGTTACTTTGAGTTTAAAATGAAACAGTTTGGAATGGTTATGCATCAGTCCAAATATGCACGGGACTTGTTGATAAAATTCAACATGCAGCTGAGTACTTCTGCAGGTACACTGAAGTTGGATTAAAGTTGGAGAAGGTAACTAATAAGAAAGAGTAGATCCTACCCTTTATGAAGATTCTTGGACGTCTAAGATATATACTTGTGTAATACAAGGCCAGATTTAAACTTCAATATGCGCTTGATTAGCAGTATCTGAAGTATCTGGATAGGCTCGTTACTGTAGGAATTAAAGGTCAGACAATCATGCAGAATAAAGCTTGTGGACAATAAGTCAGTCATAGATCTTCTAAGATCCAACATCTGATGGAAGAAGTAAACACACTCAAACAAGGTTTCACCTCATACGTGAGCAAGTCAGCAATAATAAGCTGGAGATAGAACACTGTAGACCGAAGGTGCAACTAGCTGATATACTGACAAAGGCTTTGAAATGTGAAAGAATTGGTAGTCTGAGAGAGTTAATTGGAGTTGCAAATGTTATCCAACTTTGACTTAAGGAGGAGTGTTATTGTAAAGCGAAAGTTATAGTTTTGTTAGTTCCTTTTTTTTTTTAGTTTTCCTCTACTCTGTATATGCTATGTATACATTTTCATGGAGCAATACAATATGAGGTAATTCTCTATATGTTCTTTATGTCTGTTGTGTCACATTACAACACATCAAACATGAAATATGGTTGAGAATTTTAATTCATTAACAGTCCCCACACCTCTCAGCTTGATGAAAGAATACGAATTAACCAGCATATTTCTTAAAAAAGTAATTGTATTAGATATTTAAACTTTTTTATTATATATTCTTTATCACTTTAATATTTTTAAAAATTAAAATATATATGTTTATTAGTTTATTTTATAAACTTAATTTCTATAATATTAATAAAATTAATATTCATAAAAAATTCTGACTAAATATGTAATTACATAGAAAATGATATCATATCATAGAATTGATGATTTTTAAAAGATGAAACTGTAATATTTTAATAATAAAAGATTACAGTTATTCTCTATTAATTAAGTTTTATTTTAGAATATCTTTATAATTACTTTAAAAAAATCTATTGTGACTTCTCTCTAAAATTCTAACTTTCATTTTTCATCCTTTTGAAAATAAAAAATCACAGGATTCATCATAAGAAAGAACTGTATACATTTATTTGATCAAGGTGAAGAAGAGAGTAAGTTCATTTTTTTTAAGTTGTTTTGCTTTTTTGAGTTGCATATGGGTTATTCTTCAATCTATTTGACTCAAATGTATTCAAAGTGAATATCTCTTTATTTACTATCATAATAATATATTTAGATTTATTATTAGAGTTTTAATTTTATAGTTAAGTCATCTTATGAGAAATCGATCTCTAAAATTCAACTCTGAAATAAGAAGTTGTTATAACCCAAGGAAAACTAATATTAATTTTGTATAGTTTAATTAATATTGTCTAAATTGAGTGTATGGTAATCTTAGTTTGAAATTGTTGAATAGGTATATTTGAAATTTTTTATTTGGGTTAATGTGTGTAATATGGCTGAATTGTAATTTGTGATTGAATTGTTGAATGGGTACACCTGAGTTGTATTGTAGAGTGAATATGAGGAGTGGTATCGTTGGCATCTAATGATGAGAAGTGGTATCGTTGGCATCTAATGAATCATTTTTATTGTATTGGTAGTGCTTTTGATTTGGATAAAGGATCAAAACGCTCTTCAAATCCAACAATACCCTATATTATGTAGATTTATGTGTTTTAGTTTATGCAAACTCGTTGGACANGTCAAAATTTAGGCAGGTTTGGAGAATACCTGTATCATACTCTGTTATTTTTTTTTTCGATTTAGGATAAAATAACTTAATTATAAAAATAAATTTAATGTGACAAATCAAGAGCATAGATCAATTGTGTTTTAAAAGCTCATACTACCTAATTTAAATCATAACTGGCCATCAAGTGAAACGTAAACATAAATGTGAAAAGTGTACTTTTATTCCAAATTTAAAAACATTATATATGCATGAGTTTTTTTATTGTATTATTTTCACCAAGTCGTTTTTCAGGGGAACATTTTCTATTTTCAATAAATTAAAGGAAGTCGTTGACCTACAACGTTGACATACTTGTCATAATATCAGTGATCTTGGTGACCAATAAAAAGTGATATATTGGTATTTAACAATAAATGATGGTTGAATTAATAAACTATAGCCTTGATCTTACGATGTAAACGCACCCTTTTATTCAGAATGTGGTTGGAACAGAAAAGTGGATGAAGATCTTTCATAGCATTTAATATTAATATTAATTTTATCATTATAATAATAATAATAATTATTGTGTTTATTATTAAGATGTAAAGAAGTTCCTCTAGGATTCATTACATAGTGGTATAAACTATAGATTATAAATTGTTATTACAAAAGAAAAGATTATTTTATATAAAAGTTTCAACTAGTTTTTTTTTTATAAATATAATACCGATATAAAGCATCTATTAACCATGTCAATTATTAGTATATATTGAAAAACTCAACTGACCAATCTTAATAAAGTTTCTCTTTTAACCACGAAACAAATTTTCCATCCATATTCGTGGAAAGTCCGTTTTTCGCTCAAATTAAATGAATTTGATATTTTATCTATTTTTTTTATGTAGATTTCTAACCTTATTCTTTAGCATTTTGTCTCTTTCTTGAAAATGCATCTCTTTTCTTTTTCGTTTTTTTTTCTTTTCCCTCACCTTTACCTTCACCGATATATAAAAATTATATTCTAAATCGTGAAAGTGAAAAAATTTCCGAAATATAAATAATGTTTTTATTCTAGATTATATATTTAAAAACTAAAAATGAAAATAAAGTATAGTTAGAAGTTTAAAATGTGTGGGGGTACAGAACGAAATCATGAAGGCGCAGGAAGAAGCAGAATTCATGTCAACATGTTATAGGTCCAGTGGGTTGAGGCGTATTCGGTAGATGTTCTTTTTTACCAAAAAATAAAGGTAGAGGAAAGAAACACATTAAAAATATAACTATAACTACGTTATGTTAATAATTTTCTTAATAATTTTTTAAAAATAAATAATGTGTCACTATTTTATTAATCTATTTAAATTTATTTTCTTAAAAATATTTGAAACGTGATTAAAAAATTGTTAAAAAAACATTTTAAAAATATGCAATAAATATCTGAGAACACAATATTTTCCACAACTGCCCAAAGACGTTACCAAAGTTGTATAAGTTTTAGCTGTTAGGTATTGTTTGATTAAAAAATGTCACCGCCTAACCAACCAGTGACAATATGTTGATCAATTAGTATTCGACACGAAACATCCCAAAATGATTGTCTGGAAACTGATGGTTTAGAGTGATAACATTCAGTAAGAGGTTGTTTTGCAATTCCAAGAACTTTTTGGCTGCTTTAGAATCACGGTGACTTTTGAGGGGCGATAGAGAAAACATGTGAAACAGCTCCCTTTTTTGGATTCCCTTCAATAATTGATAATGTCTGTTCGTCGAGATCGATAAGGGCAGTACAAAGGGTGTGAAGTAATGGACCTGAGAATAGGTTGAAAGAAAAAGTGATCATGAA